ATATATATATAATTATCCTTGATCTCTTATTACACAGATGTAATATTTCTTAATAAATCCAAAATAAATTCAAGAACACGTCAATAAGATCAACTTCACTCTATTCCAGAGATATAGTGATGGTTTAACATATGCAAATTAACATTCAAAAGTCACCTCACTGAAGGCTAGCTCTCATAGTTTTGGAGAACACTATGGAAGCTGCTGAGAGCAACTGTCAGTCAACTCAACAGTCCAACCCTAGCTTTAAGGCCTAACAACCACAAAAATGACCAGCACGGAAAACTATATTGGAGCAGTAGTGGCACTTTTATCTTGGGGGTAATCAAGAGCTACCTAATTGGACTTAAAGCCCACTCAATGGGACAGAACTGGTGTGTGGTAGACAGATGGCTGGAGAGGTCATAGATCTTAGAGAAAACCCCAAGACTGTCACATCCTAGACAAATGTAATTTCTTACTATGTGCTAATATGGATCCTTATATTTACAGACAAGTATGCCAGTCACCACTATTCAAAGAAGTTTCTTGTGCAACGGATGGAGACTATCACAGAGCTCCACAACTGGTCACACACAGTGATCAAGTATTGACATGCCCAAGGCTAAGTAACATATCTACAATGGAACCTGTACATCTAAGGATCAAGGAACACAGTGGAACAAGGGGTAGAGAGAATACTAATGCATCTCTCAACTCTCATCAGTGAAGCTCCCTCATGCAACAGAAGGGCAATGATCACAACTGGCCACAAATGATGAAAGGGTAGAAAATAAGAGTCTGCAGAGTGTGGGTCCTTGGACAGGACTTCTATATTATAAACTTCACCCACCCAAGGCTCAAGGACCATTGCAAAAGAAGGGGCAGAAAGAATGTAAGAGCCAGAGGAGAAGGTGCATGACCATACGGAAACAGAGTCTTACAGGCTCCTGGGACCTTGCTCATACGGACTTACGGTGTTCAGCTTATGGTGTCAGCATGCACAAGACCCGTGCAAACTAAAGCAGACAAAAACCAGCATAGAACTGAAAAATGGGCAGCATGCTCCAATCTTAGATGAAGAACTATTGGGCAGTTGATTACTGGTGGGCGAGGAAGAGCTGATCTTCTTTAAGGGACTGACTCTAGATATGTTTACTAGACCCCAGTGGTTGAGCTTGCACTGAGGGATATCTGGGGACACTAACTTGATTCTCTAGACCTTAACATAATTGACAGAATGCATGAAATCCAGTGGGGGTCTATGGGAAGGTGTCAATGGGGAAGGGAGTATAAAGATGTTTAAGATGTTGTGTATGAAATACAAAAAATTCAATAAAAACTTACAAAAAATGACAGTGCATGAAATCTGGTGGGGGATAGGTATGGGCATGCAGATTAAGGAGAGGGTCTATGACTAAGATATATTTAATGAGATGCACAAAATTCAATAAAAATGTACATTAAACAAAAGAATGCATTTAAACATTAAAAAGAAAAAAAACAAAAAATATAGAATAAAATAAATTCACTCCCATTAATAAGTTCTATAAATTTATATCATAACACTTCTGATACTCATTTTCCTGTAAATAAGAAAAATGCCTGGGAATGGACCAATTTGGCTACCTAATTAGCAGCTAGTGAATACCTGCTGTCTGAGTTTCCTTGAGAAAAGGGAGTATCAGTCTAACAACCAGCCAGACCACCCCTGAACCAGCATCAACCATGGGTGCTTTGAGACAACTACACAAAGATTATATCTGATTGTCGTGGCTCCTAGAGGCACAGTCCGAGCCAGGACTGTCTGAAATAATTTGTACCAGACCTTTTGGCAATCACAAGTCTTGAAAAACAGTTTCAACCTTAATTAAAAGGGGAGCACATTCCCTTGAGGAGGGACTACTATGAATAATCATGAGGCTCTGACTGATCCAAACCACAGCTTTAGTGACTGTGATTGTTCTAAAGTAAATAGTTGTGATTGACAAATAAAATGGTTGTGATTGGTCCAAACATCCCTTCTCAGACTATATATGAAGGCAGCTTAGAGTCACTCAAGGAGCCAGCTGGAAGACACTGTCCTGTGTTGCCTCCCTTGTCTTACAGCATTGGGCCCAATAAACGTTTCTCTCAAGTTGTCTTTTTGCTTATCTGTCATCGTTGGATGAGGTGGTAACATGCAGAAAGAATTGGCAGTAGAAGCAGTCTGGCAGCTAAACAAGTTTCTCTGCATGAAGAGACAAGTTTATACCACAAGTTCCACAATGGGCCATGTACTACCTGGCTGCTTGACAGCTGACCAAGTGCCTGCCTTGATCTTGGACTGGTGCTTGACAGCTGAAAATCCTGCCCATGTGTAGCCTGAATCCGATACCACTGAGTACCACATATGGACAATGAACAAACTGGACACTTCCTGGCACCACCTTTAGATGTAATGCTGCCTCCAGTCCCTGATACTGGATTCCTCCTGAATAGCTCAGCATGCATTCCCCAGCCTCAAGCTTCCCAATGCAAACCATCCATCAGTGTTGCGCCACAGCTGAAGAGAAACTGTCAGTCTTGGGGACAATCCCGGAAGCTTGTGCCCAGTTTTCAGGCTGATCTCCAAATAGCACTTCTTAGAACTAGTGCCTAGTTTAGGAATCTGGGACTGGACTTCCCACCATAAAGCACTGGCAACTGCCCTACTGCTGAAGAAGTAGCATGCATGGAGGCCACAGAACCACACATTGGCAGTGCCCAAACGCCTGAATCCACCTAGCAGTGCCAACATCACTACTGCAGACCATCTGCTGATCTCACTGGGGATCCCATCCATCATTCGGGATCCTCCCCTGAGTGGCTGGAAGTGCCTATGCCTGAGTGATCCCTGTCATGCCCCAACATTCAGCTCCTGAATAGCCCTGGCTCCCAAGTAGCAGCAAGTGTCCCAGACAAACCCTGGCTTCAGCTTGGTGTCCCAACAGAGGTAGAGGACCCAAGTTTTGGCAGAGGTCACTGACAAGTGAAGAAGTAGCTGAATGGTTTGAAAGTGGGCAGGGAAGGACGAAGACAGAAAGTGGAAGTAGAGAGACTGAGAGCATCAGAAGCCAGGGAGAACCTTCAGGCTCTGGTGAACAGAAGAGTTCAAGAAAGCTCCTAAATCTTCAGGGCCAAGAGTCTTAGGTGCTAGCCTAGGAGCTTTAAGACTAGGTGCTGCCCCAGCTTCAAGAACAAATAACCACATCAATGGCTGGGCGCAGCATACGAAATTGGTGCAGTAGTCACACTTATATCTTTGAGGCAATCAATAGCTACCTAATTGGAATAAAATCCCACTCAACGGGAGGACACTCAATTGTGGTACTGAAACATAACCAAATACACATGGCTCTAGAAGTCACAGATCTTTGAGAAACCCCTAAGACTGTCACATCCCTAGACAACGATTCCTTACTATGGGCAAAACACGTATCCTTATATTTACAGACAAATATCCCAGTGACCACTCATCAAAGAAACTTCTTTTGTACCAGATGGAGACAATTATCAAGTACCACAGCTGGACACACACAGACATTGTCTATGAATTGCCTAGGCCTACATGACATATCTACAATGCAACCTCTACACCTAAGGCTCATGGAATATAGAACAGGGGTAAAGAGCTCACTAATGAATCTCTCAGTTCTCATTAATGAAACTTCCTCATACAACAGAGGACCAGGAACACAAAAGGTCACAAATGGCCAAAGCATAGAGTTTAAGAGTCCTCAGAATGCTGGTTCTTGGACTGGACTCTTATATTAAACTTCGTCTACCCATGGATCAGGGAGCATTGAGAAAGTGGGGAAAGGAAGATTGAAAGAGCCAGGGAGGAGGTGCACAACCATGTGGAAATAGAGTCCCACAAGCCCCTGGGACCATGCTCATATGTATCTACAGCAATGGTGTCAGTGTATACAAGTCTCATACAAACTCAAAGAGACAAAGGCCCAGAATAGACCTGGGGAAATGGACAGCAGACCCCAATCTTAGCTGAAGAAATATTGGCAACTGATTACTGCTGGGTGAGGAAGAGCTGATCTTCCTAAAGCGAGGGAGTCTAGATAAGCTGACTAGACTTCAGTACATGAACTTGCACTGAGCAATTTCTGGGGACACTATCAACACAACAGGCCTTAACACAAATGATAAAATGTATGAATTCCACTGGAGGGGGGCTATGGGAGGGTGCCAGTAGGGATGGGGATATAAACATGATTAAGATCGATTGAGATGTTCTGTATGAAATACGCGAAACTTCAATAAAAACAACAACAACAACAAAAAGACTAGGTACTGCCAAATGCCAATGACTCCTACTTTAACTTCTCTGAATATGGTTCCTGTATAATGGAAAAGAATCTCGAGAAGTTCCTACTAAAGGATGTGCATGTACTCACCACTAACAGGGCTAAGAAACTCAGTACCTGAGGCCAGAGGGTGATACTTGCTGCTGCTTTTGTCTGCCGGTTGTCATTATCTGCCGCTGTCAAACACTGGCAGAAACAAAAGCTGCTAGAGACCAGCATTTGAAAAGCTTCTTCTCTGTCTGCAATATCTATGCAGGTAGACTGAATGAACCCTCAGCCAGCAACTATATTCTAGTCATAAGTCAGCCTGGCCCAACTGTTCCATAACCCCCTTACTTCTATTCTTAGTTATCCTCAAGTACTACCCATCTTTTCCCTCCTTGATCAAGAACGCCCTTGGGTGACCATAGTGACATGTGCCTGTAGTTCCCACATGCATATATTCTCAGCTACTTCAGAGGCTGAGGCAAGATGATCGCTTGAACCCAGGAGTTCAATGTCAGCCAGGGAAACATAATAAGACTCACTGTCATGAAAAGAAAAGAGAAGAGAAGAGAAGAGAAGAGAAGAGAATACCAAAAGTCATACTGCTAAAATAAGTAAATAAACAAACGAATAAATAAATAATAAATGAAGGAAGAAAAGAAAAGAAAAGAAAAGAAAAGAAAAGAAAAGAAAAGAAAAAAAGCCTTTACTGTAACACAAAACCCCAGTATATAGGCAAGCATAGATAGATCTTTTAGTTGTCATTTTGGAACTCTGGCACCAACTTTTATAATTTTCTGCATATTCGTTCCATTTCTTACAGAAAGAATAAATATCACTATCTAAGGATCTTCCCTATGCCTTCTCCCAGTCATCTACCAAGTGTGTCTTCTGTGATGTAATTAGCATCAATGATTGCCCAAAGAGTTAGCATAACTTAAAGTCCAGCAATTGAGTAAAGTACTGGCTCCTACTTTAACTTCTCTGAATATGGTTCCTGTATAATGGAAAAGAATCTCGAGAAGTTCCTACTAAAGGATGTGCATGTACTCACCACAAGAAGTTTCACTTTTTCCTATATTTCTCAGAGTGCTTTTAATACTCATGCTCAAATTCATTCTTCACATCATGGAGAAGAAAAGAAAGAGCAAGGAGACAAATAATGGATGAAATTAAAAAAAAAATTTCAGTTGATGTAGGAACTGGTACAACCTGGGCTTTCCTTTGTAAACAAGGCCAGGGATTTCAGCAGGAACAGCTTCCAACTCTGGAACATTAGTTGAGGATATGATATAATCTTGCAAAAAAGCTTTGTTACTTATTGGTAACAAGAGAGTAACAAGAAGTTGACTATCAGTAATCCCATTCAGGCAATGATCTTGACTATCCAAGTAACACGAGAGATTTCAGAGAGGATAACAGGTTCTTGGGTTAGGCACAGGGACAAGAGCCTTCTGTCTCTTACCTTCCTGGCTCTGTCAAACTCTTCCCAGTTCTTCCATCATGCCCTGTTGGGCCATAGTCCCATTTAATCTCATGGGCCTCAATGAAGTACTGCCGAACTTTGCCTGTGAGGTGCTCTACAGGTGGGGGCATGGAGCAGGACTTGACTGTATAGAGAGCCTGCATGCCACCTGGAAGAAAAACATCATGGCTGGTAGACAGAGTGAGTCCAGGTAAGTACCTTAACCTGCTCATACCATCACTGACACATTTATCTGATCTTCATCCTTGCCTCCACAAAAGGTCTATATTTTAACGACATTATAGAGACTAAAGTCAGGAGACCTGAGCCTACTCTGTATAAGACCTTAAGTAAGTTGTGTCCTCAATCTGAGCTGCCCCATTTTTGTAAATAAAGAGAATAGGGAAGTCTACCTCAGGAGGCATGCAGGAGTATCAAATTAAAAAAGAGGAGTAAGTTATTTATAAACTGGAGAGCACATAAAATAATGGGCTATCTTCTATACATGGAGATGAAGCTTCAAATCTGTCAGTAAAATGTAGATTCTAAGTAGTATATCCAAATATGGATAATACTACACTGAATCATAGTGGTAACAGATGGCACGTGTCTATATTTCTCAGGTAACATATATATGCCATTCAGCTGCATTATATTATTTTTGTCTAAAGCATCCCAGGGATATTTTTTTTCATATCAGAATCCTGAGGTATAAAGGAAGAATAAGGGATTTTATTTTTTTCTTTATTTTATGTTTGTGGGACATTTTTGCTGGACATATATGTCAAGTCCTAAGTCAAGTGCTCTACATTTTATCCTCACCAATATTCCAACCACACTTCGAAATGCACTTTTAATATTCCTTTTTGAAGATGAAGAAAAATAAAAGTCAGAGAAGTAACTTGCACAAAATTATACAGTTAGTTGCACTTACGCTCCAATCTTTTAATTATAGATGCTGAGTTCGCATTTTCTTACCTAATATCTACTGCCTTGATAACATAAATCAGTGTCCAAGGTTTAAATTCATATTATATTTCTGAAATCTCATTAAAACTTTGAGAAAAACATCATTATTTTCATCCTCAAGACTTACCAAAGGTGGCAAGTGGTACAAACAGAATTTGAATCTATGCTTTCTTGGTTCTAAGGTCCATGCTTATTTTACTACTGTGCTGCATGCCTAATCCTAGTAAATATGTTCTAATTTTTATTATTTTTTATTTTTTATGTGTATGCTTGCATTGCCTGCATGTGGATAAGTGCACCCGTGTCATGTAATGCCTGCGAAGGTCAGAAGAAGCTGTAAGATCCCCTGGAACTGGAGTTACGGACAGCTGTCAGCTGCCATGTGGGTGCTGGGATTCGAACCCAGGTTTTCTGCAAGAACAACCAGTGTTCTTAACTGCTGAGGCATCTCTCTAACTCCATATATTCTATTTTTTACCCAAGCATCTTTGAAGCCAAAAGCAGACTCCAGTTGATGGAGCACATGCATTTGGCCTTTACTGACTCAAACCTACCATCCAAGATTCATTATCCCACAAGTATGTATCTCCTGACTAGTCACGCCCATTTTCACATGGTCATACAACACTCTCCCAGTGCCCTTTTAATTCCTAATATATCAAATAATTCTAGAAAATAAGAACTCAGGGATTTAGAAACTATTAAAAATGTTTTCCTGTTATACATATGTGTCAAATGAGGCACAGAATTAGGAAGAGACTTGCCTATATGTTTTCCTACTCTAAGATGTTCTTCAAAACTCTATGATATTACTTTAACTTTAACACTTTCCCTCTCCAAACAAAGTCCTCTACACATACTGCTGCTATATCCTAACTAGAGTGTCACTACTGACACACACTGCACTATGATTTCCTTACTCTCCTTCAATCCCTGTTAAATCACCTGAAAATGTCTCTAGTTCTTAGTTCCTTAGCATTTTGATTAAAAATGCAGTAAAATAGTCTACCTGTTCATTGCTAAGCAATCTTGTGTTAAAAATTATTGAGAATATTAACCCAGAGGAATGTGTCTAAATTTACTCAGCAAGTTAATGGCAGAGTCAAGAAAGAATCTAAGTACTTGACTTCAGTCTAGTTATTTATACCATTTATACAAGAAGACTTACCTAGAACATCTATTTGATGGCTCCAAGCTAGAAGCTTAGCTTCCTACTGACTGTTATTTGACATCTCCCTCCTATATCCCAAGGGTCAAAAATGTTAGCTCTTACTTTTCAAGTGGCTGTTAACTTCACAGCTAATTAACCAGGTTCCAAGTTTCTGGGGCACCATCTCAGCAGTCACAAAAGTGGCTGGAAAGATATGAGCAACATCAGTGCGGTGTCCACGGGTAGTCAACATCTGTCCATGGAAATAAGCTGTGTGAACATCCACTTCATTGCCCATGCCAAACAAGTGCCAGGCCACAGGCTTCTGTGTACACATGCTCAGTTCTGGTAAGTTCCCAAAGACAAAACCATTGATTGCTGCAAAAGAAAATCCAAAGAAAATATCAGTATTTGGAAAGGACAGATCAAGGAAGAGATGCCTTACTCTCTGATGATAAGAGTAGCTATCATTTAGGGGCTGGAGAGACAGCTCAATGGATAGGAGCACTGGCTGCTCTTGCAGAGAACCCAAGTTCAAGTCTCAGCACCCATATGAGAGCTAACAACTGTCCATAACTCTAGTTCCGGGGAATCTAACGCCCTATTCTGACCTCCATGGGGTTTGCACAACACAGGTGCACTACATGCAGACAATATACTCATACACTTAAAATTAAAATAATATTAAAAGAGTAGATATCATCTAAATAAACTTTAAAGAATATATGCACTGTTGTGAGAATATGCATTATTTCATTGAATTGTTACAAATATTCAATTGAGTAGGCAAATATAATTTGTCTCATTCAAAAATTTGAGAAAACTAAGACATGGAGAAGTTACTTCTAAGAACGACGCAGATCTATTATGTGATAAAAATCAATATTCAAGCCCAGTATTCTAAGCAAGTTCTGTGAGGCTTTTTGCAAGGCACTCTTTCCTTTCTAGGTAGGTTTTTTTTCCCTGAAATATCAGCAGTACAAGTATCATAGCATGTGACTATTATGGCTATTATAATCTATTGTTATAAAACTTAAGATAAATGCAAAGTTCCTGAGTCACCATTTACACCTTCCTGCTGTGATTTTCGCTTCCTTTTGCTTTGAGTGGACACCTATAACCAAAAGTAGGCAAAAAACTTGGTCCTTAACTGACGAAATCAAAGTCAGGTGCTGTGTATTCCTTAAACCAGTTCTCTGCTAATGCCTTGTGCCTCTGTCCTTTCATGTTGTTTTTTGATTTAATCAATATAATCTATTTCTTTAAGACATAAGACAATGGGGCTGGAGAGATGGCTCAGCAGTTAAGAGCACAAGCTGTTCTTACGGAGAACCTGGGTTCAAATACTAGCACCCACATAGCAGCAAACAACCATCCATATTTCCTGTTCTAGGGGATCTGATGTCCACTTCTGTCCTCTGCAGGCATTGCAAAACACAGTGCACTTACACACATGCAGCCATAATACTCATATGCATAAAAATAAAGCAACAAATTAAAAATAATAAAATAATATATTTTTTAAAAAGACATAAGCCTTGGAGCTGGAGAGATGGCTCAGCAGTTAAGAACACTGGTTGTTCTTGTAGAAGACTTGGGTTTGAATCCCATCACTGGCATGGAAGCTAACAACTGTCTGTACTGCGTTCCAGGGTATCCAACAGTCACTTCTGTCCTCCGTGGGCATTGCCCAACACCGGCGCACTTACCTACATACAGGCAATACACTCATACACATAAAATAAAAATAATGAATAAAACGTTTTTTTTTTTTAAAAAAAAAGACATAAGCCAAAAGTAGAGTATAGGGAAGGGAGCTTGAAAGGAGCCATTTTTCTCCACGAAGTGGGTAATTCTGCCAGTTTGCATCTTTTTTTTAAAGCAAAGAAATAGTAGTCAATTATATCAGGAGACAATTCTCATTAAGGTGACTACATACATCATATATGACTGGAATCAATAGTCTTGGCTACACTACAGTATGAGGCAAGATATTACTAATGGCAAGGACACAGCCTACATAATCCAAGGTTTGGGATTTGAGCTGTTTCGTTTATCTGATCCATTATCTTATCATCCTGAGTGTCTTCACAAACAAAACAGAAAATCCACCAACCCTTTGTCATTATGACAATAAAAGTGAACAGATACATGAAAATATCCAACAAATACTGGGCCCAGTGGAAAGTATTCATCAATGTCTCTACTCTGATGATGGAACCACTTCCTCCTAGCTCACCATGCATCCTGTTGCTCTCCTGAAAGGCCTCATCTTCTTTGTCCACTGAGGAAGGGTCTAAGCAGTAAGTGGCAATGTTCTCATCAAGGTGCCAGCTGAGGTTTTCATCTACCACACTGAAGAGCAGGAAGAAATTATGGTCTACATCCTTCCTCTGAGGTGGGGAGTTCCCATCCAGGGTACCTGGGTCAAGTATAAAAGATGTTCGTGAGAATAAGCTAGAAGGGCATCTCAAGAAAGACATGGGAAGAGAGGGAGAGAGTCTTAAAATCTATCAGCAACAGAAAAGCAGATATAGCTTTCTGATGTTACTTTTCATCTACAAGATCAACAGATAAACCTATGACATAAAGGAGAAAAACATAGGTCCTAGATTAATTCCCTTCCACCTCCCTTGTCTGTGTCTTTAACCCAGAGATTAAACCTAACCTAATTCCTGCAATCTCTTGGTCTTCAGGCATGACTCTTTCTTGGAGATATCCCATTCTAAATCAAGCAGCTGAATCGTAATGGGCATTTTTTCAGTCTGATCCATACTGAAGCAGTTATCACATACCTTACTCAAATGTGAATTGACTACCATCATTACTAATTTAGGTTTTAGAAGTACAATAAGAAACAACAGAAAACGTTTTTCGTTCTTTTTTTGGTGAATATTTTTTTCTCAATGTATATTTTCATTGATTTTTTGTGCATTTCATACAAAATACCTTAATCATCTTTTTTGTCTGTTCATAAGGTGTACACTTTTATTAAACTGGTATCAAGTTAGTGTACAGGCAAGCCCTTGCTACCTCACACTTCAACCCACTCTCAGGGAGACCAAAATCTTTCATATATCAGGGGGCCAAGATGGCTGACCATTCAAAAATGAAAACAAAAGTAAAAAAGTATTAAGGCAGAAGATTTAAAAATTTTTCTGCAATACATAATTTACATAAAAGTAATGTTGTTGCCTCCCTTGCATGGATTCATACGGACTAAGGCCATCCTCCTTTGGGGAGTGGGAGTGGCTTCTGGGAGGGGCTTCCTGTAAAGAGGGATACTTGGAATGACTATTTTAAGAAAACTTACAATCCAAGTCCTAACCACATTGTAAACTTTGGGGATGCTTGCTCCAACTGACTGCTGTCACCTTCACCATTCCAGTTTTTAAATCCTGAGTCAAAAACGCAAAACAAAAGAACACTTTTTTTAATTAAAAAAATAACCATGCTCATCTGCCATTCAACGTTGTCTCATTTTTTGTTTATGTTTGTCTTTTTCTCTGCAAGTTAGGTTTTGTTGAGTAAGGGTGTAACAGCTTACTCAGTTAACTAATAGTCTGCCTAGAAGCATTTGTGGTGGACAATGGAGGGGCCAAACTCATTGTACTCCTCCTTGCTGATCCACATCTGCTAGAAGGTGGACAGCAAGGCCAGGATGGAGCCACCGATCCATACAGAGTACTTGTGCTCAGGAGGAGCAATGATCTTGATCTTCATCGTGCTAGGAGCCAGAACAGTGATCTTCTTCTACATCATGTCTGCATTGCCCGGGTACATGGTAGTGCCAACCACACAACACTGTGTTGGCATGTTGATGTTACACTTCATGATGGAACTGAAGGTGGTTTCATGGATACTGCAGGATTTTGTGCCCAGGAAGGAAGGCTGGAAGAGTGTTTCGGGGCAGCAGAAGTGCTTGTTGCCAATGGTGATGACCTGGCCATCAGGCAGCTAATAGCTCTTCTCCAGGGAGAAGAAAGATGCAGCGGTGACCATCTCTTGCTCAAAGTCCAGGGCGACATAGCACAGCTATGTCTCACACAATTTCCTGTTCAGCAGTGGTGGTGATGCTCAGTCAAGTCAGGATCTTCCTGAGGTAGTCTGTCAGGTCCTGGCCAGCCAGGTCCAGACTCAAGATGGCATGGGGGAGATCGTAGCTCTCACAGATGAGCACAGTGTGGGTGACCTTGTCACCGAAGTTCATCATGATGCCAGTGGTACAGCCAGAGGCATACAGGGACACCACGGCCTGGATGGCTATGTACACAGCTAGGGTGTTGAAGGTCTCAAACATGATCTGGGTCATCTTTTCATGGTTGGCCTTGGGGTTCAGAGGGGCTTTAGTGAGCAGCATGGGGTGCTCCTTGCAGGCCACACTCAGCTCGTTGTAGGTGGTGTGGTGCCAGATCTTCTCTATGTTGTTCCAGTTGGTGACGATGCCATGCTCAATGGGGTATTTCAGGTCAGGATGCCTCTCTTGCTCTGGGCCTTGTAGCCCATGTAAGAATCCTTCTGGCCCATGCCCACCATCACTCCCTGGTGCCATGGGCTGCCCACAATGGACCAGAAGACGACCAAGGGACCATTATTGCCCACAAAGCCAGCTTTGCACATGCCTGAGCTGTTGATGAACACAGGCACAGAGGTATTGTCATCCATGGCAAACTGGGTGGTGGGTATGGTCTGGCCGAGAAGCAGATGAGAAAGATCTAAACTCACGAGGTGGATTAAGATGCCTTAATCATCTTTAACCACTCTCCCATCTTCTTCCTATTGGTCCCCTCTTCCCCCACTGGATTTCATACATTCTGTCATATGTTATGGCCTATCAAGTCAAGTTAGTGTGCCCAGATGTGGCTCAGTGCAAGTTCATCCATGGGGGTCTAGTCAGCTTATCTAGAGTCTCTCTGTTAAAGAAGATCAAATGTTTTTTAAAGGCAAGGAAATATATACAAAAGTGGAAAGAGTATCTGGCAGGCTAATAAATGGGTACCCCTCAGGTAGCTACTCAATATGATGTCGGTTCAACTATCTCACTGCTTCCAAAAGATGTCACAAACTACATCTTATGGCTTATTTGGGTCAGTACCTCTTTTGCAGGTGATAAGGGGTCCAATGAGGCCAGATGCAATGTCTCTTGGAGCATCTACATGAGAATGGTAGATCCAGGTGAGGCACGATGGGTCAGCACCAGTGGGTGCATGGCCTTCTGGAACAGTCCAGTTGTAGATATGGCTGCCCCCCGGGGGGACAGAGTCATCGGCTTTCAGGTACCCAGAAGAACCATCTGGGTATAGGGAGCCTACAAAATAAAAGTGGACATGTCTAGCACCAGGGTGAATCAAAGCATAACAGATACAGAAGTCTCTAAGAGAGTGTATTGGTCAATGAGACTGTTCATTATAGGAACTTGCTGTGCAAGCCTAATTACTAAGTTCAATCCCCAGGACCTATGTAATGGTGGAGGGAGAAAACTTGCCTGCAAAGTTGCCCTCTGTCTTCCGTATAACACACTGCGGCATTGGCATGGCCCCCCACACATCATACATGTGTGCAGTGGCACACACACACACACACACACACACACACACACATACACACACATTAAATAAATTTGAAGAATACAAAATAATAAAAAAATAAAATAAGAGAGGGAAGATACATAGGATACTAAGGTCAAGTATTGAGGAATGCTGTATTCTCAGCTTCAGTGCAGTGCTCCTCACCCTACTCCTCATATCAACAATGGGGAAAGACAGAAGCCAGTGCAGTCATCCACTACCTCTGGCTCTTACAGTCTTTCTGCATCCTCTTCTTAAATTATCTCTGAGTCTTGGGGAAAAGGGGAGTGATATATATATAAATAAATATGTGTGTGTGTGTGTGTGTGTGTGTGTGTGTGTCCCCCATTTAGGGCTGAATACTCCTCAGTCTCTTTTTTCTGCCTGCCATTGACTGGTTTCTGCATTAATCGCCATCTACAGCATAAAGAAGCTTCTCTTGAAAGTTCAAAGATGTTTTCTGGACATGCGAGGACTGTTGAACACACGAACTTACAGCGGTGGTGACTGCACACACAAGACCTACACAATATCAAATAAGGCAAAACACAAGCATGGATGGGGTTGAGCATCACAAAGTCCCACCCCTATCTGAGGAGTTATAGGCAACTGATGGCTGCTGAAGAGAGAGAGAGTCAGTTTTCTTCAAAGATAAGGCCCTGAGAAGGTACCCATCTTCCAATAGATGGCCTTACATCCATGTACAGATTGGCAGCACTAAGTGGACACAGTTGTATTTAATAATAAAAGTGCAGGAAGTTGGGAGGGATGAAGTTGGGAGGGGATAACAGTAAGAGGATAGGGGACATGTTTGAAGGGAGGAAATTGGGGATGGAGTTCAGGGGATAGATCTGCACCCAAGAGCATTTGGAGAACACAATTAAGTCTTGATAGGCCTTTAAAAAATGGAGAACAGGAAGTGAGGAGGGCAGAGATGTATGGGTGAATCTGAAAGGAATGGGGAGGGGTTGTGAATATGATCAAAATGCATTTTATAAAATTGTCAAAGACGCAATAATAATATTATTCAAAAAGTGTGATCAATAGAGAACTGTGGTAGCACATACTTTTAATCCCAGTGCTTGGGAAGCAGAGGCAAGTGAATTTCTGTGGCATCTAGGCCAGTCTGGTCTGCCTAGAGAGTTCCAGGCCAGATTGTGCTATAAGGAGGCTCCATCTCAAGAAAAGTGTGATTAATAAAAGGATTTAGTGGCAAAAGTCTAAATCTCAACTACTTAGGAGGCTAAGGCAGAAGGGTCACAGTTAAAGGCTACAAAGTGAGTTCAGAGCCAGCTTGAGAAACTCAGCCAAATCCTGTCTCAAAATTAAAAATTAAAAGTCCTTGGAACATAGCTCAGTGGCACAACATTTATCTAGTATGTGTGAGGGACTGTGTTCATTCCCCAATACCAAGAATTTTATAATACAATTCTCAAGTAGCAAAAATCAATACACTTTGTATGAATGTATGGAAATATCACAGTGGATTCCATTAACTTGTACAACTAATAGGTCTAAATGACTATGAAAATATAAATGTTTAAAAAATGTTAAAATTATTGTTTTAAAAATAGAAACAGAAAAGTTCTGTTAAAAAAAAGCAAACAAAACAAAACAAAACAAAAATGATCGAAGTCACTTGAGAAGAACTATGCCCAGAAAAAGCCATGTTCAGCTTACATGGTATAAAAACAGGGGCAAAAGAAAAACTTCTCTCCAGCCTGCCAGAGCAATGTAGCCCTATCATCACTCGGGAGGTGAAGGATCTCCAGTTAAGATAGTACCCTGGGTTATATAAGCAGACCCAGTCTCAACAAAAAGTTTCATCCTTTCAAGTACTCACTTTGGAATGCAAAAATCAGATAATCAGAAAATTTTAGCTTAAAGTCAGTGAGTTTACTTACCCATTGCAAAGAGAAGAAAACCACAAGTCATTTATTATTTCATTATAATGAGTGAATTGAAAATTCCCTCTTGTAATAATTTTTGGAGGGAGGGATTATTTGTTTCAGATGGGGTTTAAATTCAATATCCCAAGCTGGTTGGAACTCATCCTCCTGGTTCTGCCTCCTGAGTGCTGAAGTCACAAGTGTGAACCCCACAGCACTGCTTACTATTTTAAGATTTACAATATGTTATTGTTAAGTATGCTCTACCTACTGTGCTATAGGACATCAAAACTTTATTCCTATCTATGACATTGGACCCTTTGAGTAATCTGAAATTTTAGGTAGTATACCTAAAAATTTAGGTAATGTACAAAAGTTTCTTTCTCTGCATCCTTATCTGATCTAGGATCTTCTGACTTCCCACTTTCGTTCTCTTACTCAGTGTTGTATCTATTATAGGACAGTCAACCTCAAATAGGGAGATACAAGACCAAACTGAACACCATCTTATGAAAAAATGGAAGATCTAGAAAGATAGCACAGAGGCTAAGAGCACTGGATGCTCTTATAGAGGATCTACATTGGTTCCCAGAACCCACAAGGCAGCTAACAACCATCTGTAACTCCAGTTCCAGGGGATTTGATGCCTTCTTTTGGCCTCTGTCAGCATTACACACATGGGTGCACTTACATACACGCATGCAAAACACTCATACACATAAAATTTAAATAATAATAAATTTTTAATTAAATAAAGAAAAAACGTGACATTAGGAAGACTGTGACATTAGAATAGGTCACCCTTACTTTTGCAGCACACTTATTTCAAGAACATACTCAAATATTCTATGGAAATGCAATTCAAATACTTCCTTGTGATCAAAAAGGACTGTGTCTTCATATTCCTGATAGACAATCTGAAGTTCATAAAGGTTCTGTGACTTGCCCAAGCCATACAATGTATGACAACAGCACTGACACTAGTACCTAACCACATTTACTCTGAGTAAAGTTTTCCTACAGCAAATAAATAAGCAAGCAAAAGCTATTTTAGATTGGGCATGATGGTATCCAAACCCACAGGAGGCCTAAGCAGGGGAATCACTAGTTGTTCTAAAGCAGCCTGAACCACAGTAAGACCCAAAAATGGGGAAAGAGTAATTATTGCTCCAAGTTCTTCTTTTTCAGACAGCAGTAAAAGAAAAGTAATATTTTGGCAGAATAGAAGAAATAAAAGGTAGGCTGATTTACCTTCTGAGTCCTTCTCATAGAAAACACCATGGGGATGAATGGTGTAAGGTCGACTGGCAAAATTCTTCAGGTGGATAAGGATAACATCTCCCACCTCAGCCTGCAGCAGTGGGCCTAAGAAGCCCAACCAGGCAGGCTTGACCACTTCATCAGTATATGAGCCATCCCTGTATTCTTTATAGATGGTCTTCTTGTAACTGCTGCCTATTCTGTTCTTGTCAGACTTTAGGAAACTGGACGCCACTCTGAGAAAAAACAAAAGGTCGAATTACAGCCTTTCTACCATCTTCAAATCAGTGCAAAGATTTCTCCCTAGAGGACTCTGATAAAACAAGAGGGAACTAGATTGTACTTATGAAAATATGAAGGGATGTATTATGTTGAAGCATATGAAATTACTGATATTTGACTACCTTTGAAGCTCTCAAAAGACACTGTGTCATGGTGCAACCAAATATATAAAACAAAGAAATAACCATCTGTATAATGATACTTTTTACATGATCATCTACTCATTGATGTGACCTTGGCATCATGCTGCTATATATATGGAGAGCTGAAGAAGTTATTGATGACTACAAGCTATGGAACCAAGCCACTTGAATTAAATAACAGCTGCTCCATTTCCAAAACTGTGGACTATTCCAGAAGCTCCTGTAACTTCTATGAACACAACTTCATCATCTGTCAAACGATAATTACAGTATCTGACTTAGAAAGTTGTCATGAGGACTAAAAGAATTTAAGTCTGGGGGTGAAGCATAGTGACAAAGTGCATGATTCACATGCATAAGACTGTGGATTTGATTCTTAGAACCATGAGAAACAAAACAACAAGCTAAAACTTCAGGGAACTTTATGACAGTACCTGGGAAATTGCTAAAGCTCAGTGCAGTTACTACACACTTCAAAGTATTAAGGGCAGTGGCTAATTAAGTTATTCACTCAAGGGCAATTTTAATACAAGGGCTCTGACTCCAAAGCTAGAATGACTAGTTCATATCAAAAGTCAGTTTATGGTGGGCATGCGGTTACATGGTAGAGCACTTGACTACCATGTGAGGTCCTAGGTTTGAGAGTCAGCACTGTGAAAAATGAAAGAAAAATAAGAGAGTTGTTTATACTGAGAGATGGAAAACTGAGCTCTGGAGAATCATCATCACAAAATTCCTTCAATGCATTCATTTATTTTCTTCAACTGACTTTGGTGACGCACCAACCAGCTTTTAAAATCAAGAAAGGTTAATCCATCCCATCACTTGGGAGACTGAGGCAAGACTGTCATGAATTTAAATCTGAAGCGGCTACATAGTGAGTTGCAGGATAGCCTGGGATACAGTGTGAGACCCTGTGTGAGAAAAAAGAAAGAAGAGAGAAAGGGGAGGAAAAGAGAGAAGGGCAGAAGAGGGAAAGGAAGGGAATGGGAACAGAGGGGAGGACAGGAGGAAGAAGGAGAAAAGAGAAAAAAGAGCAGAAAGATTAATCATGTAAAGAGCACAATGATGAAAACAGAACTAACTACGCACCCAAATTACATAAATTGAAATCCTAGCTCCTCCATTTACTAGCTGTAGGATTTGGACTAGTCATGTGACCTCCATGATCCTGTTTTCACAACTATAAAATCAGAATGCTGTTGTGCAGGTTTTTTCTCAGTGGTAGAGCTCATATTTAGCATGTATAAGACCCTAGGTTCCATCCTCAACACCAAACTAGTGATGATATTCATATTTCCTAAACATTATGTAAGAATTGAGGGGGCTGTCTATAAATGCTTAATATGATCTCTATCAAAGTGTTAGACAAAGTTGTTACTGTGATTTCTTTGCTTCTAAGATTTAGCTTACTTTTTTCACATTTTCACAAATCTATAATTAAGATAATTCTATCAGATTAGAGGAAAATAGTTCCACTACACACATCTTACCAACACTATATGCATTCATTTAAAAAAAAAAATACTAAATAGTTGTTATTAAATGAGCATTATGGATATCATCCTAGAAGCAAAGGAAGGACTTCTCCTTACAAATCTAAAACAGCTAGGAGGCCTCAGTGTAGAAAAGCAAACTCTTGATGACATGGATCCTGAGCCAAACAGTCCTCTTTCCAGAAAACCTAGTTTTCGTTGTGTGGGCCTAGGAGATTGAGAGCTGCCTGTTGTCATACCCTGAGAAAGGACTCTCAAAAGGCTGCCTCCTGACCTTAATGGTGTCCTTGCTTAACTCTATCCATACTACCACATGAGATTAAACCTACATGTCACTGTCCAGAGACTGGTTTGTGATGACATTTCTTCCTTTGGGAGCATAGTTCCACTGCACGTCCTGGATGCCTAGGTAGTAGACTCGAATGGCCCCATCAGTCAATAGAGGCCACAAGGATTGCATGAACAGTAAAGCCCAGAAGAGATGGCCTGGCTCCATGACCCACATTACTTTGAGAAACAGGCAAATGGAAGCTGCTGATATGAAAAAAGATAAAAGAGAAGAAAGGGGCTTTGCATGTATCTGGAAAACTGGAGAGGCAAAAGTCAGTTGGAGTGGCTAAAACAGCAAAACTCGTTAACTCAGTTTCTTGACTTCGCTAGATTCCTTTCAATTCAACAAATATTTATTGACACATAATACATTAGAGGACAAAGGTACAAATTCACTTGTACTGTTAATCATGTATCACTTCCTTCAGACGAGAAGCCTGGATTCTGCTCTTTCAGCAGTATCAAAGGAAGTATGTGTTCTTACCCCAAACCAGGAAACAGGCATCAGAATCCTGATGAGGCTATACTGATTGACTTTGTACCTTAATCAACTCACCAATTTGTCCACTGCCTATTTTCTAATATGCAAAAAGAATTCATATTTGCATCAATAAATTATGTTTAGAAATCTTGAGAAAACCATCAAAATACATTTACTAGAATATTCATAGATGAAAAATTAGAACAGCCAAAATGCTATTCAACACTAAAATGGTTGAGTAAATTTCACTGTACTCAAAAAAATGGAGTTCTTTATGGCAGCAATTATGAACAAGCTACAACTATAAACAACACTATGGACAGATGTCACAAATGCAATGATAAAGAAATCAGAAAACAAAATCATACATACTGTATGACTTCATTCATCTAAAGTACAAAATTACAGAAAAGGAATCTATGGTTTTAAAAGGACAGAGGCAGAGAAGAGCTCAATGGTAGAGTACTTGCACAGTGTGCATTAGGTCCTGGATTCCAACTGTACACCATAAAAATACAGGTACTGTTTAACCTTGAGGCAAAGATCAGTGACTAGAAAAGGAATAAGTTGCGTTCTGTTTCTTGATCTACACATAACTTATATGAATGTGTTCAGTTTCTGAAAATATGCTGAGCTATATAGATTTGTATATTTATTACATACGTGTTTCAATTTTGCTTCAGAAAAGTTAAAAAGTAAAACGAAAACAAAAGAAAATATGGAAGGGAAGTAGTTTTACCCCTAAGACTGTCTGCGGGTTCCCAGGGCTACGTGCAAACTCATCTGACAGGTTCAATCCTGATTCTCTATCATACACAAACTTCTAACCTATCATTTCAATGGTCACGTGAGAAGGTTAGAATTCTTGGCCCTGGGAAGAGACATTCAGTCATATCATGTATAGCAGATCAAACAGAAACTCAAACATCACATAAACACACATATACACATTTGTACACATTATCTTTTAAAAGCATAGACATACATATCTGCATCCATTTACAGCTACAGCAACCCACAAAGATATAGTCACCTTCAGAATAACAATAACAACAATAAATCACTTTAGTCTGTGTCCATGATGGACTCATTCTAAGCATCTTGCATAGACTAAATTCTTTAATCCTTAAAACCACCCTATGAAGTAGATGTGAGTATTCCATGTTATACTGGAGGAAGTGGAGAACAGAGGTCTAAAGTAATTTTCCCAAGACCAATTGAGTTAACAATTGTTAGAGTTAGGATTTGATTCCAGGAAGTGTGCCTCCACTACCTACGATAATTATTTCCAGGCACACTCAAATGTATACACACAGAAAACACGCATATGCTTATAGCTACAGCTAAATCTAAGAGAAAATACATGTGCTCTAAGACATGTAATCACACGTGGTTATGGTTACTTTAGAAACAGATGTACATGCACAGAGAGCATCATAATACTGATAATAACTACCACTGATGAGAGATGACTAAATACAAAATGCCATGTTCAGTGCCTTAAATAAACTGTTTCATTAAATCTTCAACTCAAAGCACATGTAATAGGAACTATTATCCAAAACTAGAAATTCAATTCCTGTTGGGTGTGGTGATGCAATACTAATCCCAGTACTCAGGGTGTTGAGGATAGAGGATTGAGGCAGGAAGATTATGTGTTCAAGTCCAGCCTTGGCTGCATAGTGAGGAGAAACTGTCAATCAATAAAAGATATGCACAGATTCACATATAAATAGAAAAGACTAAGATATTTACTCCAGCTAGGAGCAGATATCTAGTATGATTCAAATCAAACCAACAGATAGTTTTAAATAAACTCTTGGGCCTCTCCACACACAGTAGTCATATAAGTATTAGTCACCAATCTCCATACTATGGTTGACAGAAAGTCCTTGATGTAAGGCTAAGCCTGTTGGGGGTCAGATCTTTGTAAACCCTGGCTATTCCACGGCTCCGTTATATAGTCTTGGTTTTTCCTTAACAACTATGAGCCTGTTTTCTCATGTGTACAATGAGTCTAATATCAGCCATGAAGGACTAAATAAATTTACCTGCAAAGGCCCCAGCAATATCAATCTTTAGAACATAGAAGAGGGTTACTATGGGCTTGCTTGCTTTTCCTTCTGACTCCTGGCTTCAGTTTGATAATTTACTTTCTCCTGATAAAGTGCCTTCATTTCCCATACTGAACTATAAAATCCTTAAGAACGCATGCAAAGTCATATAGGTATCTGTGTATCAATTATGAGGCACAGTGTTGAGAGACTAGTAGGTAAGCCATGTTCTGCTAAATGAGAGCTATAGCATGCATTTTTCCACCTGTTGCCTCTAGTCTAGGTTCTAGCACTAGTCTGAAGTGTGACTTCAGGTAACTTTCTTTCCCTTAATGAGCCTCAGTTTCTCATCTGCAAAAGAATGCAACATACAGAGCTGGACCACCTGGTTCTTATCTTACAGAAGTTATGGAAATTTTATAATCTAATGGAAAACCTACAGGCAAAACTATGAAAATGTGGTATTTAAAAAGCTCTCAAAGATTCATTTCTTTCACATGATGCCAATACTCACATTCACCGATGAAACACAGGTACAGTCAAATGTACCTACATACAATACCATGTATGGGAACACAATTATCCATTTTCCTTGGGGCACTGAACCTGGAAGAAGTATTCTCTGTTCAATACACATCCAATTGCAAACTTGACCTTCTTCAAGCCTCCTTCTCAAGGATGTACCAGCAAGGCAACTGTACCTTCAAGTTATTTACCTAAGGAGGAAACAGTCCAAGGTAAGAGCTCCACAAGTGCAGAATTACATGGTAAGCCTGGAAGTGTTCCCAGGATTTAGTACAGACCTTTAGCATAGAATGAACAAGCATTCAAAGTTTCACAGTGGTGACTAATGTTCCAAAGAGTCTGGAGCATGTAGAACCTAGGGAGAAGTGTTACCTACATTCGCCGTGAAGTTTTCACTTTACAATGTACTTTTCATATCTCCCTTTTTATTTCTCATAATAAGTGAGATAAACAGCGATCTCCATATTTTGCACTTGGGGCAGAGGCTTTGGAATTCCACCTCTGAAGTGAAGCCTAGCTCCACTAGAGTATATATATATATATATATATATATATATATATATATGTGTGTGTGTGTGTCTGTGTGTCTGTGTGTGATGAATAAGTGCTCAAGTTAGTTATCAAAAAGTACTAGTGGCTATTATTAAAATTTCATTTAGACACTGACCACTATCACAACTTTACTTGTTTTTTTTCTTTGGGTTTATGTTTTTTCTGGTGCAGGACATCAAACCTAAGGCCTTGTGCATGCAAGATAAGCACTTTAACACCACTCCTAGCCCAAAGCTTGTAATTTCATTGATGATGACAAACATGTACACAACTCTAATTTTCTAATATACAGTAACATATTCTAAGAATAAAGATACTTCTAAACTGGCATAAACTTCATGCATTTCAGGCCGACATTATCTTCTCCTTGGAAGCAACATGATGCAATGCGAAGACCTAGAACTTGGCCGAGTTACAGCTGCACATGCTATACTATCAGAAAGGTGAGAGGTGAGGCAGGAAGATCAAGAGCTCAGAACCAATCTGGGCTACATGGTAAATTACAGGCTAACCTGTTGACTCAAAAAAAAAAAAAAAAAAAAAAAAGGAACCAGGACATAGAGCCAGATAAACTTAGCTGTGAATAGTATTTATTTTATGTTTAAATAAGATAAACTTATTATAGCATGTGGGACTTAGCAAGCACCTGCAGTACTACTTTTCTTTCTGTTACTAAATTCCTATCTTTTCTCCTCAAAGCTGAATTTGTCACTGGTAATGTTATTACTGTTCTTTAATTTGGTTTTTATCATACACTTTAAGAGCAGAAGAGATTAAGAACGCATATACTTCCTTTAGAACCACTTAGACAATTTATGCTCATGTGGAAAGCATTTAGACACCAGGAAAGAAAAAAAAAAAAAGAAGGATTTCTTTATGAATTCATTACATGACACTGAGCTTACCTAACTTCCTGATCCTAAGCGCCTCATTTCTTAAACTAGTATGTCTGCCTTAGCCCCTTATCATTTTGTTAAGAAGACCAAATAAGATGAACCATATGAAATTTATGTGTAAAATTTTCATTTAGGCCAAATGATATTTTTCTTGCTGCTAGGCCAGCAAAGAAAGACCAAACTGAGGCGCGAAAAGGGTAGCAAGAAGTGAAATAGGGAAGGTGAGCAAGAGTCTTAGGGAATGTAAAAAGGAAATATTTTTAAGAAGTAAAATGTAAAGCCGTTGAACGTAAAGGAAAGCTAAGGGGAATTTCTGGCTACTCAGAATTAAGTATAATTTAGTTAATGCACAATGAAATCTCGTTTCAAGCTGAGTAGTCAAACCTCTCTTACATTTAAGTTACTTTTCAGGCATTGCATGGTCCCTTGAGCCCAACCTCATTAACCATGGCAATTTCCACAAAAGTTTTCCTTAGAATTTGCAAGTTGCTCCTTTAAAGTGACAATGTTTTTTTTGTCTAACCTCCCAGGACCCTTCCTAATAGTAAAGATACATCTTTTAACCCTCTGCTTTCTAAAAATTTGTTGCGCTTTCTTCACCCTGTTGATAGAAAACATACTGAAGTTAAAGACCTTGATTCATTCCCATTTCTTGCCTACAATAGTTATCTTTTGGTTGATTATTTTCACTTGAGTGAGCCTCAGCTTTCTCATCTCCAAAACGGGGATGCTATTTATCTCAGAGGATTGTTTTGAGACTCAGACAAATAATGGATATCTGAAGCAATATATAAAGAACTTGTTTGGTATTTTTTTTAAAAAAAATTAAACTCTCTCTCTCTCTCTCTCTCTCTCTCTCTCTCTCTCAAATTAAGACCACAATGCTGAAATAATTTATTCATAATCATGCAGTTAGTTACTATAAGGCCAAAATTTTAATCCATGCTTAATAAATGAATTTTGCTCAATAGACTCTAAAAGCATAAAAAGAATTCATTCTGTACCAATCCTGTCTGGAAAAAAAAAAGAAAAATTAGCATGGTTGTTTTTGACGATTTGTGCCTCTTATTTTTGGAATCTTCAGTTCCATGATCTCAGCAAGCTTTCCTAACCTGAGAGACAGAAGATGAACAGGCTGTTTAGACAGAAAAATGAGCTATTCTCTATGACTCCAAGGTTATCCCAGAAACAGTGGAACCAGTGTGATTCTGGCCATTTTGGCCTAGGGAACAAAAGGAGTCAGCCCATTGAGGCTGTTACTTCCCTGTGCACCTAACCAAACTTCCTCTAACTCCCAGGCCATCAACTTTCTTTCTCTGTGGCCCTGGGGTTTTTCTAAACCCAGCTAAATAAAGATTTTGCATAGGAAGGCAAGTGAGGTTGTTTCAAAAGAGAAAACTTACCTTTGTTAGAGAAAACCTTTCCTTCCTTCTATTCATGTCCGCGTCCCATCAGTGCTGAACTGCAGACCCCAGCCTGAGCCTGCCAGCCCTGTTTACTCAGTAAAAAGGGTTACAAAGCTGTTCTCATAAATTAAATCCAGAGCTTCTGTCTGGCGGGATTACCGGGGTGAATGAAAGGGGAAGGGGGAACACAGGGTGCCCTCTTTTCCACAAACTAAACTATTGGAATGTCTTGTTCCGGGGCGGTTTGGCACAAAACCCGGGGTGGTTCTTTGACCATATCCTGGTGTTTTCCAAATCCTGGTTAGGATCTCAGGAGGAATTACAAGGAGGTGGGCTGCACCTCTGCTATTGTAGCTTGCTAGTTGGACTTTGCTGAGCTGGGATGAGAATGCATCTTCAGTGCAGCCAGCCAAAGCCTGCAGGCAGATTCCAATTGCCTCATTTAAGAAATAAGGAGGACTAGGGGTGTAATTCAGTGGTAGAAATTATGATGATTGATGATGATGATGATGATAATGATGATGATGATGATGATGATGATGATGACCGTAGTATTAAAATGGGCCCTTAAATGATCTAAACTGTATGCTGGGTTTGTTTAAAGCCAAACACCAATTCTCTTCCTGTTGCAAAGAGAGAGCAGTGAAAAGTCGCTGGAATAAATGAAGCAGCCTAGGTCCTAGCTCTTGTGCCACTGGCAATAATTAGCTCGGTTGCTTTGGCCCAATCCTTTCTCTTCCTTGGCTTCTTTACATGTATATAATGAGGGGCTTAAAGTAGATATGAACCCACTCATGTCTGTAATATTATGTATCTAGGATTCAATGAAGACACATCCTAAGTAATAAGAGCAGTAGAGAAAGAAGTATCAGTGAAGAATGAGTGAAGAAAGTTTCATGAAGGAACGGTGAGTACACTATGCCTCTTTGGGAAGGGCTGTATCTATCCACAATAGCCAACAGACCCAAGGAGTGGACAGTGAGATGGCAGTTCTACCTGTAGTCCTTACTTTGTGATGAGATCTCCACTGAAAGCAGATGGTCTTCTTCAATCAAGCTGTACAGATTTCTGTCCACTGTACCTGAAGCACCTAGAGTAGGGGCTAAGAAAGAGGACTTTCATAAGACTGAAAGTTCCACTGAGCTGGTGGGGCAAAGTCTGGGTCATAAACCAGTACAAGTTTTAAGGCTACTCAGCCATTTAGGAGCTGCCCTGCAGACTGCAGCCTAGGCCAAGCGAAATGGAACGACCAGTAAAGAGAAGGGAGGAGCCACCAGTCTCATTTAACCCAGAAACACTCAGCAGTCAAGTGGAACTGGATTGGTGCATGGCAGCACCTGAGTATACCTGACTGGCAGAGATGTGGACCTTTAAACTAGAGGGGGAAGGTGGAGACCAAACCCATTAACCTAGGATCCAAGTCCAGGCTCTAAGGCATTTATGACTGGGAGGGGAGAGGATACAGCCTGTGCTCTGACTCATGAAACACAACAAGAAGCAGGTCATTATAGATACTCTTGAATCAACACAGTAACGACTACAGAAGGCAAGCTAGCAAGACCTTCATGCTTGTATTTTTATGTATATATTTTTATTTATTTATTATTTATTTATTTCGGGCTTGTGTTCATTCACAGATTTCATTGAGAGTACAAGCTATAACCACCACTGCCACAAATCTGGCACATTTCTAGTGCCTTTTCTTAAGAGTCACTTAAAAAATATGTTTAATCAGCTGCCTATAGACTGCATGTTAGCAAGCTTTAGTGTGAAAAGTTACTTAGCATACATTTTATTTACAGAATATATAGTTTCTCTATGCTATTACTTTTCAGAACTACAGTTGTAGTTAATAATATCTATCTCCATTTCAATAAACATTTATTTACAAAAGAAAAGGAAAGGCTACATTTAATCCATAAACTCTGGTTCAACAACTCCTAATATAGAATTTACTTTTCTTTTTTAAACAAAATGAATACTAATATTTGAACTATAGCATCATTATGAAGATTCCCAAAACTGGATGTGGCATCTTTGATTGAAATAAATTTTGCCATTTTCTGATACTGCAAGCTTGGAAAACTAATTTCATATTTCTAAGCCTAAATATTTACTTTCATAAAACAGTATAACACTATTATGAGGAATGAAATCAATTATGAACACAGCGACTGGCTCATAGTAAAAGTACAGAAGTTACAGTAGTTTTAATTTTTATTAAAGATTAAAAAAAACTAAGGCTGATTATGTAGCACAGTTGGTAGGATGATTACAAAGTGTGCAAAAACCCTGTGTTCAATCTCTAGCATTGTATAAAACTGAGAATGGTGGAATGTTCTTGTAAACTCAGGTCTTAGGATATGGAGGAAGGAAAATCAGAAGTTCAAGGTCATCCTCAGCTTCACTGAGTTAGATGCCACTCTGGGCTACATGAGACTAAATAATTACTTTCCCATTAGTACAAGTGGTATGAATTCATGTCAAATAAGAGAAGCATGCATCAAGAATTCTGGCTTTACATTCTGGTTATGCTTCTAAAGAGCGCACATTGATGATGAATGTGCGGTTTTACCTCTTAGGGACCCAGTAACATGCAGAAGATGGTGTAAGTTTCCATACTTTAAAATTAATTTTGGCAGTAGAATACTTTCTTTTTAAAAAATATTTTATTTACTATTTTTATTTTATGTGTATGAGTGCTATGCCTGCATGTAGGTAAGCGCACCCATCTCGTGCAATGCCCGTGGATCACAGAAGAGGCTGTCAGATCCCCTAGAACTGGAGTTATGGACAGTTGTTAGCTGTCATGTGGGTGCTGGGATTCAAACCCAGGTCTTCTGCAAGAACAGTCAGTGTTCTTAACCACTGAGCCATCTCTTCAGCCCTGTCAATAGAATACTTTCTACAAACTGAACCATTGTAAACACTCCCTGTCTATTGAAGATGAAAGTGAAGCTGTTCTAGGCAATTTGGGAGACGGAAAGAATAAATATGCATGGATAAGGGTGTGGCAGACAATACAAACTGTAGAAGGTTTACTTGAAGATTAACTTATAAGGAGCTGGAGACATAGCTCAGTGGTTAAGAGCACTGGTTAATCTTGCAGAGAACCTGGGCTCATTTTCCAGAACTCACACGGCTGCTAACAACCCTTGGTAACTCCAGGTCCAGGGAATACAATGCCTTCTCCTGACCTCTGCAGGCATTGCCCACATGAGTGCACTTAAATACATATAGGCAAGATATTCATTCAAGTAAAAATAAATAAATCTTTTTTTAAAAAATTAAAAGGACACTCAGATGCTGCTGACCAAAACAGGTGCCGCAGCTGCTGGGGAAGCCGTCCACTCTGTCCCCAGTAGAACGCCCACATGGCCCCACATGCCAGTCCCAGTACACACCTGTCATGGTGAGTCTTCTCTGTCAATCGAACTGGATTCACAATCACCTAGGAGACACCTGAGGGCGCATCTGTGAGAGTGTTTCCGTAGAGATTTAACTGAGGTGGGAAGACCCACACTGAAGGTGGACACCACCACCCCACAGGCTGGGGTCCTGGACTAAATAAAAAGCAAAACTGAGCTGAACACCAGCATTTATCTCTCTCTGCTTCCTGGCTGCAGATGCCATGTGACCAGCTAGCTGCACCACCTCCTGCCGCCACGGCTTCCCCACCGTGGACTGTATCTTTGAACTGTGAGCCAAAACAAACCCTTAAGTTGCTTTTGTCCAACAGTGGGAAAGTAATATAATACCTGAAAGAAATACAACCATATGTGCACATAAAAAAAATTAAAATATAAAAGAATCCAGTTAGCAAAAGTTACTAGAAGCTCTTCCTCATCTGGGCTTCATACAATATTTGAAGCATGCTCAAGGACAAAGCCTATGAGATATAAGCTTAGGAGAGGCAGGCACTAGGTAAAGGTCCTTAAAGGGTAGTGTTGCTCACGACTCATGGATTTTTGGACCTTTCCCTCAGCTCAGTATCCCATTCACATTCTTAGGAATGCTTTCTTCCCTTTCTTAATAAATAGTCTCTATTTCTTTTTCTAAGTATATATCCCTAGTCCAGTTCTTTGTTACAGGAAACAAACACAGATACTTCAACAAATACCCCTAAATTCAGATCTGCACCTATAGCAATGGGATCCAATAACCTGGCCAAGTCATACACCTGCCCTCCCAGGCAATATAGGTAACTTTGGTTCACCAACAAGAAACCTCTAGAATATTGAAAGTAGGTGTGAAATGTACAAGTCCAAAATGTCTTCAATGGGGCTCCAAGACTTAAGTTATGTCTGCCCTTGTGTTTATTCATCTACTTAATATTTCCAGGTTTCCTATTTACAGACTTCACAAGTGTATGGCCCTAGAGGTAGGTGGAAAGATGAGAAGGCTATAAAGACCTTAAAAATAGGAGCACTATTGTCTAGTGGGAGAAGTGTATGGATGACACAGAAAGATCACAGAAGAACAGAGTTTCATAGTGGTCACTGAAGACTGGGACATGCAAGCAGGGAAAAGAAGAGAAATAAGGTACATTAGGTGCACCGCAGCATAGGAATTAATTACATTTTTTATTTTTTAAAAATTTTATTTATCATTTTTATTTTATGTGTGTGCATGTATTGCCTGCATATAGGTAAGAGTACCTGTGTCGTGCAATGCTCATGGAGGTCAGAAGAGGTTGTTGGAACCCCTGGGACTGGAGTTATGGACAGTTGTTAGCTGCCATGTGGGTGCTAGAATTCGAACCTGGGTCTTCTGCAAGAAAAACCAGTGTTCTTAACTGCTGAGCTGTCCCTCCAGTCCCCAGTTTTCTTTTTTATTACATTTTAATCTCAATCTCTCAATCTCTCTCTCTCTCTCTCTCTCTCTCTCTCTCTCTCTCATTAGCACATGTATCCACATGTATCCCATGATATGGGTGTGTGGAGGTCAGTGGACAACTTGTGAAAATCAGTTCTCTCTTTCCAACATGTGAGTCTCAGGAATCCAACTCAGGTCATCAGGGCTTAGAGGTAGGTGACCTTACGTGCTGTGCCATCTCACTGAACCTAGATGTGATTTTCTATAACAAAGCTCAGTAACTTGATTATAGAAATCTATGACAAATTTAGAGGTAATTAAACCAGTAAAAACAACAACACATAAAAATTATTAGCTTTTGAAGAGATGGAAATGTG